CACTAAAACTAAGGCTGAAGAAATGCAACCCTCAATCCAACCAATCCACTTATTTCCAAAGCTAATGAAAGACATAGTAGCAATGAGAGAATCCTAGTTTACACAATCAGAAGCTTTTTTTAAATCTAATTTGAACACCAACCCACCTTTTGAAGACTTTTTATGGAGTCAATCAACTTATTTGCAACCAAAGATGCTGTCCAAGATTTGTCAACCTTTCATAAAAGCAAATTGAGTAAGGTGAATGATAGATCTGATAAAAACTAGAGTCTTAGCAAGGATCTTGTAAATAATGCCAATGCTTGTCTTAGGAATTTATTATGCTCTTGGAAAAATTTCCTTGATACTATGATCAAATTCAATGGATTACCAAGAATCCTCAACCATTTACATATATAATACCCTTTTCATTGAAGTTTAAAAGCCCCCAAAATATAGTAATTATTTCTTATCCATAAAATTTAGTTGAACCTATTGTTGAAACTTGAAAGCCAATTTCCAAATAATTTAATTCAAGCTTTATACACACACACACACACAAACACACACATATGTCTATACTAGCTATCATGGTCAATCATCACAATATTTTTAAATTGTTTCTCATTTTGTTTTTTTACACATACATAGATGACAATGAATCATAATTAAGAAATCCAAGAAACTAACGACGACATACCAATTAGGGATATCAATGGGTAGGGTAAAGCATTATCTATCCCCATTCTCGTTCCCATACCTAATGGATATTTTAAATCTATTATCATCCATATCCCTGTGGGTATTTAAAGGGTATGTGTAATACACATACTCATAGTTTTTAAAAAATCTAAAAAATAAAATTTATTTTTTAACTTTTTATTTTTATCTTGTATATTTGGATAATTTTTTATAAATATATATATATATATTAATATATATTTTTCAATAAAAATATATTAATTCTAATTAATCTAAAATAATATTTTTATTATTTAATAAAAAAACTATTTATTAAATATATATAAATATATAATATATACGTATAGGACGGATACTATATTATCTATCTCTATCCTCATACACAATAAAAATTTAAAATCTTATTCATCCCTATCCACATACTCATAATATAATATCTATCTTCATCTTTATTCAGATAAAAAGTCAAGTTTACTATTGAGTAGGCATAAGATTGACATCCTTAATATCAATTATTTGCATTATTGCACTCATACTCTCATAGTATGTTTAGTTGAAAAGTTTTTAAATTTTTAGAATTTTAAAATGAAGTTATTTTTAATGCATCTACACATCCATTCAAAATAACAATATTTCCATCTTGAATTGGATATCCACTTTTTAAATGGCACAATTTTAGGAAAAAAAAATATTTTTATAAAAGAATTAGAGAATAAAAAAAAATAACAAGTATAGGATTTAAATTAAATTTATTGAATGATTATATAAATTAATTAAATTAAATTTTAAATTCTTAGAAATACCAATTTTGATGCATGCTTTCTCTAGCTTAATAAATTAGATTTAATTACTGAATATTTCACAATTTTAGGCTTAACCTTTTTTTTGTATTGATAAAGCTTTTGTTTTAATTTTATTTTAATCACTTCAAAACTAATCGTATAGTCATGGATCATTTTTATTTTATTTATGAAATTTCAATGTAACCCTTTAATCCCAAACCTCAACTAAAAAAATAATTCCACTATGATTGATATATATTTTATTTTATGAAATTTCAGCATTACCTTTTAACGTCAAACCTCAGCTGATCAATAAAGTCATATATCATTCGTGATTTTATTTATTTATTTATTATTTTTATAATTATTACTAATTATTAATTATAAATAGTATTATAAGAAAAATCATTTTTTTAAATACTTTCAACTAAGGGTGTAATCAAGCTGAATCAAAATGATACAGCTCGAGCTCGAGCTTGAGCTCAATTTCCAACTCATGACTTGATACTTGACTCGAACTCGATCGAGTTTCAATTTTTTAGCTTGAGCTCGATTTGTAATTAAAATCGAACTATTCTAATGAGCTCGATTAGGCTTGTTTATCGATAAAAAATAAGTTTGATTCCATACTCGATTTTAAGCTCGATTATTTGTACTCAAGTTCGAGCTCAAATTGAAATTTTTCAATAAAAATATTTTGTATCAATTAAATCTGATATATTTCAAAACAATATCATAAAAATAAATAAATAACTTAATACAACAATCAGTCCAACTTGAATCTGCAAATGAAAGATAAAATGACAAAGTTCAAAGCAACCGAAAGCATAACTTATAAATTAATCAATTTCCATTCAGATTTTATCCAAATAATCCATTATCCAAAAACATAAAAGTGATAAAAGCAGCTATGACAAGGAGATTAGATATGATAAGAATCGAGAAAGAAACAATAATGTGATGAAACGAAACCTTAAAGGGGCATCTGGTTCAAGGAAATCTACAAATTTTTTCTTGAAATCTTGTTGGTACATATTTGATTCCAACATTTGATTCAGGGTAATCCGATTATAGGGAAAAATGATAGATTCCCAACAACAATCAAAGTTTCGAAATCAAAAACCCACATCTCCTTATGGTATTCTAGAATTTCGAGGGCAAAAGTAGTGTTATTTCTAAATTTGACTTTAAAAAATTATAAACTAGCCGTTACCCTTTTGAAAAGCATGTCTGAAAGTTATTGCAACTTAGTTGCAGGTTTTTGCTGCTAATTTTTTTTTGTGTGATTGCAATTAATGGTGTTTGGCATGAAAAAATACCTTAAATAATACATCATTTAAGACCTTTTCTTTGATGAAACACCCTAAATAATCTTCTTTAAACTTTTTGAAGACCTTTTTTTAAAAAAAAAAAACTAGTTGTTACTAAGGTGAAAAAAAATAAATTGATAGATGACTTAACAAAAATGAATTTGCAAGGAGAGATATATAAAGAATAGGATTTGGATAGTAGAGAGGCAAAAATAACAAAAGAATATAAGTTATTAACGAGAGCTTTTGGGTAATGGGACCCAGTGACATAATCGTCATGTGAGACAAATGAGCAAAACATTAAAGCATTAGAGGGAAGGGTTAAACTTACGACTTTATGGTTAACAACCATATGTTCTAACCGACTAAGCTACTTCAATTTTTTTATATTTTATTTCTTAAATCTTATAAGTAATAAAATGGATTATATAAAGTGTTTTTAGTTCAAAAAAGCCTTAAATAATGTTTTTAAGAAAATTGAAGGGTATTATTTAAAGCGTAAAACGCTATAAAGAAGGATTGAACCTATAACCTTGTGGTTAATAACCATATGCTCTAATCAACTAAGCTACTTCAATTTTTTAATATTTTATCTCTTAAATATTATAAATAATAAAAGTGATTATTTAAGGTATTTTTTGTCTAAAAATACCTCAAATAATCCTCTACTACATTTTAAAGATGATTATTTAAGGTGTTTTTAGACAAAAAATGATACATTTTAAAAGAGTTGTTTAAGGTATTTTTGAACAAAAACGCATCAAATAATCCTCTTAGATTTTTTTAAAAAGACATTGTTTAAGGCCTTTTTAGTCCAAAAACATCTTAAATAATTCTTTAATACATTTTAAAGGGCATTAGATAAGGTTTTTCAATTATAAACGCCTTAAATAATCTTTAATATTTTTTATTGATGATATTTTATAAATAAAAACAGCAATCAAATAAAATATTTATCTTTTTTTGTTGCTAAAGGCATCATTTATCATTTGAGTATTTATTATTAATAAAAACTAATAAAAAATTATCATCATATATGCCAATGAGATTATGATAATTATTCATAAATTAACATATATGAATTTTTTCTAATCAAACGAGTGAATCTGAATATGAGATGCTTTGAAAATAGAAGAAAACTTCAAGTATCGCACTTCATCTAGAATCACACTTTTTCTCAAAATCTAAGATTTCACGAATCAAATACCCTCTAAGTGAAATTGAGAGAAACAGAGGAAACCTTAAGTTAAAAAAAAAAGGGAAATCGAGGGAAATAATTATGCTAGTTTATAAGGATAAGAATAAAAAAAAGAAAAAGAAAAAGGGCGATTACGTTTAAGTTCGGACGAAAGGGACGAGGAATAGAGTAACACTAATCCAATTCTTAGAAACCTTGTAGGAGATCTTTTCAGGCAAATCTTTCCATTGACCACTCATTATCTTTTGCTATTGGTGTTGGGATGGGATTAAGAGAGTGATGTAGGAGGCGTTGCTGGGATAAGGAAAGGGAGAAAGCAAATGTGTTATTAAATGTTAGGTTCAAAGATTAGGAATTTAGGGTTTTTGAATATATATATATATATATATATTTAAGGGTAAAAAGTAAATTAAGAAAAATATTTAAAAAATATATTAAAAATAAAAAACTCAATTAGGCTCGTAAATCACTTGATTCAAGTATTAAAATATTTGAATTTGGCTCATTTGATAACTCAAGTTTAGCTTAATAATAATTGAATTGAATTCAAATTTTTTTGAATTGAGCTCAAATAATTTACGAGTATATATGTCTCATTTACACCCTTATTTATAACTATTGATAAAAGACCACAAAAGTATCGTTATTACCATTTATGATAGTTTTTTTTATCATCGTTTGAGTGCCAATTACGTAAATGTTTATGAAAATTATTCGATAATCAAATAATTAATATTAGAATGGTGTTTGTATTGATCGATATGAATTTTTATGGTGTTTTAAATTTGATTTAAATATTATTAATTATAATATGATATTAGAACATTATAAAAAATAAAATATTATTGATGAAATCTTTAATGAATTTTTGATGAAATTTATCAACGAAATTAATTTTGTCAATAATTTATAAATAAAAATTTGACATGAAATATCACAAAAATTATAAAAAAAAAATTCTACCTGTAATCTATTAGTAATTATTTTATTGATGAATTATTGATAAAAATATTCCATTGATAAAAAAAAAATTTGATAACAAAAAGAAAATTTGGGGCGGTCAATTACTGACAAAATTTCTATCGGTTATCTAAAAATGAAAAGAAATTTAAACGTTCATTCCCGCATGTGAAGCCCCAAATTTCCCCTAAATTCAAAATCCCTAACCCCCTCTCTCTCACTCTTCTTCCTCTCTCCCCCTCTCTCTCACCGTGAATGGATGTTCCCGCGGCTTTTGCTTCTTGTAGCGGCGATAAGACGGTTCGAATCTGGGAGTAGAGCCTCTCCACTCGCTCCTGGGACTGCAAGGTCCTTCTCTCCCCTCTGTTTATTCATTTTTTCTTATTTTTAATTTTCTTTTTGTTTTTGCTGAACATTTTGCTTAAAGAAGTGAAATTCATTTAATTTAGGTCAGCAACTTAAGAATTTCAAATTTTTGTTGCCTTTTATATTTAATTTAACTAATGTATGAAAGAAAATTTGTTGAAGTTGTTTGAAATTTATAATTTAACTGTGAAATTTTTTCTTCCAAAATGGAATGAGTTCCATCTCTTTGAATTTGTTTTGAAATAACTGGTAAACTGATTTTTTTTAAATTCATGGTGATTTGGACTATGATCTTTTGCAAGCGGTTTTGGAAGAAACACACACTAGAACAGTCTGGTCCTGTGCTTGGTCACCGTCTTGGAAATTGTTGGCCACTGCCAGCATTGATGCTACCATTGCCATATGGGAAAATATTGGGGGTAACTTTGAATGTGTTTCCACCTTAGAGGTATTATTCTTGTTCTGTTATTGTTTTCTTTTAATTTCTTAAGAGTTTTTAAACTGTTTTGATGTTAACTGCACACAATTTGATACTAATTCACTAAGCAAAACATAATTACACTGAAATTATGACTTAAGGGAAATGGTTTACCGTGTAGAAAGGGGTACAGAGAATATCATGCTTCTTGCATTCAGGCTAGAAGTATTATCGAATATGGCAGTTATTAGTATTTAGATTATTTTTCTTTAATATCCGGTTCATATGTTACTAATATTGGAAACCGTTTATTTATTTATTATTTGTTGTGGTGTGTAGGGTCATGAAAATGAAGTGAAAAGTGTCTTGGAATGCATCAGGTTCTCTTCTTGCAACACGTGCATGAGATAAAACTGTTTAGATTTGGGAAGTGATGCCAGGGCATGAATTTGAGTGTATTCAAGTTTTGCAAGGTCAAACTCAAAATGTGAAAATGAATCAGCGGCATCCGACTATGGATATTTAGTTTTCCTGTAGCTATTATAACACTTTCAAGGTACTTTATAGGCTAAACAGATCTGTATCCCTTTAAAAAGACCATAGATTTCTTTGATCTTTTGCAAATTCTGTTGTATGCCAACAAGACTGGGAAATGTGATTGAATTTATGATACATTTGCTTTTCCGTGGAGGTAAGGTGGTCAGAGGATGCTGATGGTGATTGGAGCTGTGTACAAATTTTAGGTGAATCTAGCAAGGACCATGCCTAAAACTGTCTTTTTTTCTGTTTTAGCTAATTTTCTTGTTTATTGTACTGCCTGCTTATACTTTTTCTTTTTATTATCCTATGAAGTAGTGTGGTAGTTGTCTTTTAAATTGTATAAGGCCTAGAAGATTTTTTGTCGACTGATTTATGAAATTGTCAGACTACTTATAACTCTTGTTTCAGTATCTTATGGTCAATGGTCACCCTTCCACCGTTTGGTCACTTCCTTTTAATGTTAAGGTAGACAAATTAGTAACTTGTAGGTATGTATAACAATTTTGTCCTTCTGGGCTGCAGTTTTTGGAAATATGGTATTTGCTAATGGCATCACAAACAAAAAACAAACAGTTAATTTTGTGCGAATTACCATCTTCAAAGTGCCATTGGGGATTTGATATATTCCTAATATGGAGGTGCTAAAATGATGATGGATTCTCTGGATCAAAATAACCACCTAAGACCTAGTTAAGGCATCTTTGTGTATTTTCATATCCAATGGTGCTCAATGGTAAATAATGATTGCTTCTACTAGATATTCTAATTAAGATATCTTTGCATTACAGACTGAACAAATGTTGTTTTAATCAGTGAATGATCTTTTTTTATTCTTTTTGTACAGAGTTCTTTACATTGAACGGTAGATGCTTTGTATTTTTTTCTGCAGTTATTTGAAGTTCAACTGGATATGTACTACTTCGTTATTCCTCTGTGCTCGCTCAGGTGCAACAAATGTTTTCTGGTATGAATGCAAATTGGTAATGCTTGAGTGGGAATTTTGTTAGGTTGCCTAACGCCAATAGGCAATAGCATTTGAAGTTGGATGACCATATTGCCATTAGCTGGTCTTGCTTGTTGAAAAAAGTGGCATAACTCATGCCCTGATAACGTCTTTTAACTTCAGTTAATTTTGTGCTTGTATGCGGGATCGATGTCCAATCATATGCAAGGCGTTTCCAATATCTCGTTCAGATAAAACTCAAAAAAAAAAAAAACATATTACTGTCTCAAATGCATGTTTGATTCTATTATTTTTTGTTGGAGAATCTAATTGACACTTTTCTACTTCCATGGACTCAGTACCTCCTTGATGAAGTTGCATTGGAGCAGACTCGGTTAAATAAAATTTCAGCACAGGTCAGACATTTTTGCTTTATGTCGAATTTTGCATGCTGACATATTATCTACCAAGTGTAATCCTGCTGTCACAGTGTATCTAAAAGAAGATAATGATCTTTTTATAGTTACCTGTTTGTGATACCTTTTACTTTCAAGATTCATATTCTTTTACTACTCAGGTTGGGCTATTTTTTTCCTTGGGAACCTTGATTTTGAAAAAAAAAAATTGCTTATATGGATATTCCTTTTATGATGTATTTATCTCATTCAGCTTGAAAAACTTGAAAGCTTCTTAAAGCAGTGTCGCACTTTTCCAAATGCTTTCCTGATTGGTGGACCTGCAGATATACTTGTTATTGAACTAGCAGACCAGGTAAATTCATATTTCCATGATTAGATAGTATAAATGATCTTATTTATTATTACCACCTTAATGAAAGGCCTTTGCAAAAATTGGTATATTCACATTTGGGAAAATTTCATTTGCCTGCTTCAAAAATTAAAGGTGGAGACAGTCCTACTGCATTATCTTTCGCAGATTAAATTTCTCGAAGGTATTACTATCAACTTCTTGTAGGGTTAGTGACTATTCAACTGCTGGTATATGACCTTAATGTTTAATTCCTGCAGGCATGGAACTGAGAGTGGCCACAAGGACAAGGTTGAAGACCTATTTGTATAGCTATACCTCTCCTGGCGGTCCAATGTAGTGTAAACCGTAAACAGAATATGGTTTTTGTTTTTTATATTTTAATAGTTAGAATTTATTAGTAATTTTGTAAAATATTATTATATTGTTTTATCAATGAAATGTAATGTTTTATTATTATTTTTTATTTATGTATATTTTAATATTCATATAATTACTTTAAAAATATAATAAAATTATAAAATAATAGTTAAATATAACTGAAAAATAATATAACTAATGGATTATCAACAGGTTATTGATGGATTTTATTGATGAGTTCTATCAATGAATTTTTGGCTAATAAATTTTGTAGGTACTAATTTTGTCAATAATTATCGATGAATTTACGTTAGTTAATACTAATGGAATAACATTATCTTGTTGATGGAATTTTGTGTTGATAAAAATTATCTTTTTGGTAGTGGAATGTCTCAATAATTAGATATTTGATGATTTGGTCATATCCGTGTTGAAAAATTTTACTGAACAACTATTTTTAATTTTGAAAGTGTAACTACAACAATTCTTTTTCTTAAACATATCTATTGCCTAACTTTTACATTTTACTAGTTTTTGGTATGTGTGTGATGCATGTGTAATTTTTATTTTTAAAAATTTATTTTAATAAATAATTTTTTATAATATGATATTAATGATAAATACTAATAATTTAATTTTAATTTTGATATAATATTAGTGATTTTTGATAACTTTTGATATAATTTTGATTTTAATAACTTTTGATAAAATTTTGGTAACTTATAATATAATTTTAGCAACTATTGATATAATTTTGATAATTTTTGATAAAATTTTAGTAACCTCTTGATGTAAATTTAAGTAATCTTTTGATAACTTATAATATATTTTTTGTAATTATTGATAAAACATTTGTCATCATATATTTAATAATGGATTCTTATAGGAAAGTGCGGGTTTAATTCTAGCATAAGATGATTTTCTTTTTATACAATAACATTATTATTTTATTCAAATTGAGAATTTTTTCACTAATTTTTTTTTTATTGAATGGGTTTGTGGTATGTTTATCTTAGTTTGCTATGATAAAATTTCTAACTTCATTTTTGCTAGTAACTAAGATTCAATTCCTAACAACTACAAGTATAAAAAAAATTTATCAATTATTGACAATTAAGTTATCAATGATTTATTATTATGTTATCAATGATTTACTACTAAGCTATCAATGATATACTACTAAATTATTAATGATTCACTACTAAATTAGCATTGATTTACTGTTAATTTATGAATGATTTACTACTAAGTTATGACTAATTTTCTACTAAATTATTGATGATTTACAATTAAATTACTAATGATTTGTTATAAAGTTATAACTGATTTATTATTAATTTATTGATGATTTACTATGAAGTTATTAATGATTAACTAATTAAATATTAAATTATCACTTATTAATAACTAAATTATTAGTGATTTACTACTAAGTTATCAATAATTTACATCTAAATTATTAATGATTTACTATTCTATTATTATGCATTTATTACTATGTTATCATTGATTTACTAAGTTTTTGATTATTTACTACAAATCATCATAGATTTATTACAAAATTAATCATAATTCATTATTAAGTTATCATTAATTTATATTAAATTATCCATAATTTACTTTTAATTATCATTGATTAACTATTAAGTTATTGATTATTAACTACTACTAAGTTATATTGATTTATTTTTAAGTTTCTAATAATTAATTACTAAATTATCATTGATTTTACTATTAAGTTATTTATAATTTACTATTAAGTTTATCAATTAATTAATATTAAATTAAAACTGATTTATTATTAAGTTATAACTAATTTACTATTAAGTTATTATTGATTTGTTATTAAGTTATCAATTATTAACTATTAAGTTATCACTTATTTTTATTAATCTATCATTAATTTACTAATATGTTGTTATACATTTACAATTATGAAACATAAAATTTAAAAGTCCACTAATAATATATATATATATATATATATAGATACCTCATTTTGTTTAAAATTTTTTCGGATTCGAAATAGGCTTCTGACAATAACTTGGGCCCAATTGGAAAGCTCTAGGCTTAATAGGAAAAATCTTCATTTTAATTTTAATTTGATTTAATTTTAGGTTTTATTTATTTATTTCCTTATTATTATTTTATTTATTATTTTTAAAAGTCAAAAACAAAAGAAAAGTCAAAAGTTCAAAAAAAAAAAGGAAACAAAATTAAAAAGTTTTAAAAGATCAATGCAGAAATCATGGTTTTTTGACATTGGAAACAAGATTAGTTAGAAAATCATTTACCATGATCCCAAGAATTAAGCAATCTTTTGGATCAAATTTGTTCAATGACAAATTTGATCTTTCTCAAAATTCCTAAAATTTCTGAAATGAAACACTTATACACAAACGAAGGGAGAAATCATAAAAAGAGAGAAGCAGCAATTGAATTTTGGGTTTGTAGAGATGTTTATGGGAATTTTTGTTTTTTGAATTTTTAGTTTTATGAAAATTCTAGGTTATGTGCTTAAACAGTTGAAATGTTTGGTTTTTTTTTGGAATTCTATGATGATTTTTTTTCTAATTGTAAAATTGTCCTGAGTTTATGGGTTTTGGAAAAACTATTTGGATTTTGGGTTAGTTTTAAGATTTCTAAGAAGTTTTGGTTTTTTGAATTTTTTTCTAGGTTTTTTTATAAATATTTCGATAAATCTTTGAACTTTTCGGTGAAGTTCACGATAGTTGGAGGAGAATATGATGGTGGCTTTTTGGTTTTTTTTTTTTTATTTTCTAAAAAGATTAAACTTTTCAGTGGTCGATTGAATTTCCTAATGCCAGAATTTGGAAATTTGGCTCGAGTTCTTAGTTTTCCATTTGAATTTTAAAGAGAAGGCAGAGAAAAAGTTTCTAAGGAGTGAAAGGATTAGAATATTTTGAGAAAAAAGAAGATTTTTTTAGCTTTTATAGAGAGATCGATATGACATCATTTTGGTTAAAGTAGCTGACCCACATGACCCGACTCCAACTCGACCTATTCTGTTGGTTTTCATTTTTTTTTATTATTTTGTTAGACTTTTTTTTTTATTTATGTCTTACTTTTTTTATATATTTATATTTTAATATATATTTAATTGCATGATATTTTGCATTTTTGCATGATATGATCATATATTTTATTCTTATAATTATATTTAATCACATGATTATTAATATATTTGTTTGCACAATTATATATTATTTTATTTGTGTGATTAATTTTTGCATGATCATTAATTAATTGCATGATGGTATTTTATTGCGTGATAATTGATATTATTGCATAATATTTTATTATTATTGTATGACATGTTATATTATTATTTCATGATATTATTGGTATGATGATTTTTTGATTATTTTAATTAATTTTTTCTCTTATTTTAAATATAAAAAAAGGTTTTCAAAAAAATATTTTCCAATCTTACCAAACTATTGAATGATTTAAATTTTGAATTAAGTCTTACTAAACTATTAGAGGATTTAATGAATTTAAAAAAATATATTTTAAAAAAATCCTATCAACAAATTGAAAGATGTTTCTAAGAATAAATTGTTTTTGTAAGTAAAAAATTTTTTTACAACAAAAAGATTAAATCAATCCAATGATAGAGCCTTTTCAAGATATTAGTCTCCATGAATACTCTTAAGGTGAGAAAATTATCTTAAATTACTACCAAACTATTAAAGTAATTTTAAGGTCAATTTTTAATAATTAAATTATTTGGTAAATTACAAAGAGACTTTACGGCTTAGATAATTTGAAATTAAATTGGTACTATCTTTTGGATGAGCGTTGTAGAGTGTTATAAAATTTTTCATGCGTAACCGTACTCTTGAACCTATATCTAATTTCGTATATTAGAATCTACCTTTTAAAGATAGATTAATCAAGTTTGGGACTCATCTTTAAAATAGGACAAATTCAATTAGGTGGTCAATCACATCTAACTAAAAAAGATTAGTGGTGACTCTTAAAGTTTATATCTAATAATATATCAATGGATCTATATGTTATGATAGTTTGGTAACTTCACTCGAGAGATCGAGATTCAAGCCAGTAAATGATTTTTTATTATCTAAGCCTAACCTAATAAATTGAAAAAATTTTCTCCTTGTTTGTATTTTATTTATTTATTCAATTTATATATTTTTCATTCATTTGCACATGCATAACATAAGCTATACACTAAAGTTTTGTCCTATAAGGAGTAAAGTACCTATGTCTTTGTGAGATTTCTATCTCCACATGAGCTAGCAAAAAATTTCCATTCAAATTGAACCATTTTTCGCGTGTAACCTATAATGGGTAAGAATGGGTTGCCTTATTAGTCTATAATGGATAATGATGTAAGAAATAATTTGAAAATCATTAGACTGTCAAACCTTTAAACCTAGCATGTAAATAATCCCTAAAGGTCTAAATCTAAATTAGAGCCATACCTTCCCTTATGTTAGAAATTTCTAAATAGGACACCTGATGGGATATTTATTTTGCTTGTAAATTTTTATATATTTTTTTTGTATATATTATTTACATATTAACTTTTATGTTGTTTTTGTATATATTATGTTAGCTAACCTTTTTTTTTTTATTATATATGCATGCATTCACATCATTAAATTCTTCTTATTATATTCATGCATTTTTTGCATTCATTCTCTTGTATAATCTGATGGTTCCATAAACATCATTCTAAATTTGCACTATAATTGTGAAAAATTAAGATTCAAGGATAGCTTAACATTAGTATTACACTTGAGCCCAAGCTAGAAGAATGGAATAAAATAATGCAAACTATGTTGAGAAATTAGAAAAGGCCCAAAAGGAGATTAAGAAAAAGTTAAACAAAATTCTTGAGACATTAGGTAAGTTGAATAAAGAAAAGGCGGTAAAAGAAGATATTTTACATGACATTGCTAATCTTCTATATTCTTAGGGTTAAGGCTCCTATTAGACCCAATCCAATCCAAACTTTCCATTACAATAGTTTGCTTA